TGCATTCTTAACCACCCAGACATCTCTCTCGTTCCATGAGAAATGTTGTATTTCACAAATTTGAGACCTCACCTGCCATTTATCTGGGAAGGACATTGTATGGCATAATGATCTAGATGTGTTAAATACACGTATACCTAAAACAAACAGGGTAATACAACATGGTTTAAAAAAAACAAAATCTACTCCACAAAAATGGTATCAGTCCCTATGTGGAAACTCTGAGAAGTTTTCACAGTAAAGTCTGATGTTTAAATAACTTCCCATAATGATCACAAGTGCAGTGCGGTGACTGTAATGGATGACTGAGACTTTCTAAAACAATTTCCGTAAGGAGGTTCATTATCGGTTCTGTGGTAATCATTTGAATATTGCTGTAGGACTTTGATGACCCCCATGGAAGACCTCACTACCCTTGGGGAGTGGATGGGGAGTGGGTTGGGGGCGTCAGTGGGGGACATGGGAAAATGGGAGGGCAAGGGAATGGGGGGATTGATATGTAAAATAAGATTGTTTCTCAAATAAAAATAAAAAGTTAAAAGTATATGGAATAAGGTTCAGTACCACTTATTAAAGCTATTAAAAAGCAAATTAAAATCTATATACATGCATTATGGCTCATCTTCTCACCAGTAGATTCTCTATATAACTAAAAATAGCTTTTCAATTAAAATGATAAATCAATAAGTATTAAAAAAAAGAAAATGGAAGAAAAATTTTAAACTTACTGCTCAAATACTTGCTATAATATTTTTGTATTTCTCATTAGTCTCTGAGCTTTGTTTGGTAGTTGAGATTATACTTAAATGTATATTTGGTCTGTGCAGATTGTCATAAACATGGTTAAAGTGTATTTAAGTTAGTATGACATCCACTTGTATCCATTATATTGGACAAGGCATAGAAGCCCATTTCCAGAAAGCTAAACATGTCTTTCAAAAGCCTGAATTATAATGTAAAAATTTAGAAAGTTATTTTTGCTGTACGTATTATTTAAGATATTTTTAAAAAACAGGCTAAAAATGAATATTAGTGTAGCTACTTACTATATAATTTAATACTTAGTTTCTCCCATGTTGATTAATGTTTAATTCATGAACCCTTATTCTTTTTCACTTTTTTATTTAAATTAAAAACAATCTTATATTACATACCAATCCCATTTCCCTCTCTCTCCCATACTCCCAGCCTCTTCCTACCCCACCCCCATCTACGCCTCAGAGAGGGTGAGGCCTCCCATGGGGAATCATCAAAGTCTGTGACATCATTTGGGACAGAACTGAAGCCCACTCCTCTGTATCTAAGTCGAGCAAGGTATCTCTCCATGGGGAATGGGCTCCTAAAAGCCAGTTCATGCACTAGGGATAAATACTGGTTCTACTGCCAGCAACCCCATAGACTACTCAAGTCCCCCAACTGACACCCACGTTGAGGGGGCCTAGTTAGGTCTTATGCAGGTTTCCCAGCTGCCAGTCTGGAGTTTGTGAGCTCAAAACCTAATTCTTTCAGAACATCATGTGTTCTTTCCTTTATCATTTTTGTTATTTTTATTTCCTTTTGCTTTTTTTGGATTTTGATGGCAGGGTCTCCCAATGTAGCCTTGACTGGTCTGGAATTCACTGTGTACACCCAGATGACCCCAAATCATGAACACCCATCTGCTTCTGACTCCTAAGAGTTGGGAATAAAGGCATATACCATCACTCCTGGCCATTTTTATTTCTCAGTTATAGCTCCATCAATCTGGTGGTCAATAACTTCTCATAACCACCCAACAGTCACGAAATAGGGACAATCTCTGTTATTTTACCTGGGTCTGCTTGGTGACACCCTCTGGCTGTACCAGGCTTCAGCCAGGAAGACTGCCATCAGCACCAAAAACATGGCGGACATTCCCAGCCTGATGAGATTAATCTTGGTGTAACATTCTGCTAAGGCACTTGTGGTGACTGAAAGAGAGAATATGATAACACTGTAAGGAGCATCCCTTCCTCCCTAGAAAGGAAAACCAGATTTAATTATCTTCTATCCACTGGAACACTGGCAGGTGGGCAGCTGTCCATTCTTTGTTAACCCTGGAACACAAAATGTATTTTTTTAAAAAAAAATATTTATTTATTTATTATGTGTACAGTGTTCTGCCTGCATGTTGCCTGCGGGCCAGAGGAGGGCACCAGATCTCATTACAGATGGTTGTGAGCCACCATGTGGTTGCTGGGAATTGAACTCAGGACCTTTGGAAGAACAAGCAGTGCTCTTAACCTCTGAACCATCTCTCCAGCCCCAAAAATGTATGGTTTTATGAGAGATCAAATGAATGGAGTTTTTTTTTTAAAAAAACCTTATTTACTGTGTACTCTCTGTGTATTCTACTTTGTTTTCTATTAAATGATAAAAACATTCTGACCAAAAGCAGCTTTAGGGAACAAAGGTTTTATCTCATCATAGACCTTACGATCCATTGTCAAGGGAAGTCAGAGCAGAAGCTGAAATTAGAAACCACAGAGAAGGGCTGGAAAGATGGCTCGGTGGTTAAGAATGCTGGCTGCTCTTCCAGATGGCCAGGGCCACTCCCAAAACCTCATAACCACCCATAACTAACGTTTCAGGGGGCTCTACCACCCTCTTCTCTCTCCCTTGTACACCTAGAGAGAATGTAGCACACAGACATATATCTGAGTAAAACACTCATATAAATGAAATAAATGAATCATTAAAAAGAAAAAAAAAAAACCTCGCGTTCAAGCTTGTTCTCCCTCTTGCTTAACTGCTTTTTATGGAGCTCAGGACCACCTGCCTACTACTGATGACATTCAAAGTGAGCTAGGGCTTCCTAAATCAATTAACAACCAGGACAATCTCTCGAAGACATGCTCACACACCAATCTGACCTGGGCATTTCTTCAACTAAGACCTCTCATTTCTGATGACTCTAGGCTGGGTCAAGTTGACAACCAAGGGTAAGTAGGATTCTGCCTGTCTTGATTCGGGTTTTTATTGTTATGATAAGAAACCATGACTAAAGCAACTCATAAAAGAAAACAATAATTTGGTGCTTGGTGTATGGGAGGGCTGGAGTTCATGGCCATCGTGGTAGGGAGCATGACAACAGAAAGAACTGCTGCTGGAGAGGTAGCTGAGAGCTTACATCTCAACCTACAGGCACAAGGCAGACAGAGCTGACTGGGAAAGGCATGAGCTTTCAAAACCTCAAAGTCCACCTCCAGTGACAATCTTCTCCAACAAAGCCTTCTGACCCTTCCCAGACAGTTCAACCAACTGGAGAGCAAGCACTCCAAAGAACGAGCTTATGGGGCCTTTCCCTTTCAAACCACATTGCCTTAGCTCTTGTCCATTGTTTATTTTATCGTTCTCTCTCTCCGTTTTTGCATTTTCAAGACAGTGCTTCTCTGCATAGACTTGGCTGTCCTGGAACTTGCTCGGTACACCAGGCAGGCCTTGAACTCAGTCATCTCCCTGTTTCTGAGACCCGAGGATGGGATCAAAGGTGTGTGCTACCACCATCTGGCTTCTTCATACATCTCATTTTTATAATTTCACTTACTTCCTTTCCCCCCATCTCCTTTGATACTCTAAAGGTTACTCTTTTGAGAAAAACATAGACTAAATGAAGGCAGAACACAGAATTCTGGGGCAGATTGCCATCTCCCTCCAGACCACAAAATGGTATATGTGGTCTTCGAGCATAGCAAAACTTCACCTGGTATCTGAGTCCCTGGACCACTGTGAATTTCAGCTGCACTCAGGAAGGGCTAGTGTACTATGGCTGTAGCACAAAACAGACACACAGATCAATGGAACACAACAGAAAACCCAGACAGAAACTCACACAGCTGCAGATACTTTTCAACAAAGATGCCAAAAGTTGAAGAAGAGATGGATTCTTCAACAAATACTGGAAACTTGGGCTCCCGCACCCAGAAGGAAACTAGATCCCACACAAAACTCAACACCAAATGAATCAAGGACCTTTAATTGAAAACAGAAACTGAAAATACTAGAAGAAAACATTTAAACACATAGGCATGGACAAAGGTCTGATTTCAGTTCCCAGTACACACATCAGGCAACTCACAACCACCTGTAAGTTCAGCTCCAGGAGAAACAGTACCCTCTTCTGACCC